GTTTCATCCATCTCATTAGAACTGATTCAAATGAATTCTTTTTAATGGCTGAGTAATATTCCATGGTGTATATGTACCACAGCTTCCTCATCCATTCGTCTGCTGATGGGCATCTAGGTTGCTTCCATGACCTGGCTATTATAAACAGTGCTGCGATGAACATTGGGGTGCACGTGTCTCTTTCAGATCTGGTTTCCTGGGTGTGTATGCCCAGGAGTGGGATTGCTGGGTCATATGGCAGTTCTATTTCCAGCTTTTTAAGAAATTTCCACACTGTTCTCCATAGTGGCTGTACTAGTTTGCATTCCCACCAACAGTGTAAGAGGGTTGGCTTTTCTCCACACCCTCTCCAGCACTGATTCCAGTTTGTGCTTCTTTCAGCCAAGCTAAGAGATAAGCTAAGCCTTTGCTAAGAGATAAGGGCAAAAACTCTGGAACATGGATCTTCAGGTAATTTACAAAAGCCAAGTTAACATAATCGGCAAGTAGACATTGAAGATGGAGTATTTAAACAGAATCCCATCAAGGCCAGAAGAGACTGATGGGACCTGGCAGAAGAGACTGTTCTAGGCTTATCAAATATAGGAAAAGAAAAGAAAATAGATTGAGATTGCAATCTAGAGGAAGCCCAGTGGAGAGTCAAGAGGAGTTAAGGGGATGAGACCTTTGCATAGCTGATGAAAGCCCCTGAAAATCCCAATCACATCTGGCAGTTTGTTAAAAGTTGCTTCTTCCACACTAACCAACCAGCTTCCATGAGTCTCAAGCATTCTTTCTGACTTATTTCATTAACATTTCCTTCTTTTTCTGGAGTGGTCAGAGCCCCAGGGAATCTCTCTCTCTCTCCCCGCACCCCTTGCCCCCAACCAGTGGGGCATTGAATGAGAGCCAGAGTGTTGTCTGTGTAAAGAAAAATCGCAAAACCACAAATTGCAGAAAATCGTTACTGCCAAAAATCGAAAGGAACATACAATATCACCAGGCCTCTTAAAAAGCAATTGTGCATTTTACAGGCCTCTGGATAATTCAGGTTTGTTTGGCAACTTTCTCACGAATACCACCCAGAAGACAATTCTCCCACCAGAGGCAGTGGTCCTAAAGAATATGTATAGCTGAAAAGAAACAAAAAATGTGGGTACAAGTCTTTCCAGGGGTACGATATGGCTCCATATAGTTATTTTTCTTCTATTGTGAAATATTGATTTCAAGACCCAAAGTTTGCTTCCAGAGTCCCTGGGACTTCCACAGAAAAACAGCAAGTGCCTCCAATAATTACTAAGAAGAATCCTTTGAAGATAGAAAGCATTTTTAGATAAAATCTTTCTGAAATGTTATGCTGTTATCACAACCACACTTAGCCGGAGGTAAGAAATGTTTTTCTTCCCAGTTCATTCTCCACCCCGCCATAATACAGATACTTAGGAACTGAGAGGTTAACTAAAATTCTCAAAAACCATACCATTTCTGAGGGAGTGATCCAGGACTCAGACACGCACCTTCTTGTTCTTTCTGCTGAGCTCCTTTCAGCACCTGCCCTTCTGCTGCAGTGAGCACACCTTCCTGACTTGCATGAGGCTGCCCTCCCTCCCCCACAGTGGGGCTGGGGCTTTACTTGGCGCATATACATTCCAGGACCTTTACTTGCAAAGCCTCCTGCCAGTCACTGTAGATGGAAGCCTTGTGTGAATGGAGTGCTGATTAGGTGGTTCTCCATTTGTATTGACTGTATAATACAATCGTCATTAGGATACAAGGCCACCTCCAGAGGGGCCCATTGAGTCTGGCTGCCAAAATGAACCTCAGTCACAATAGCCTGATGATTTGAACGTGTTTCCATGACTCCACAGATCAGACCAACTTTGCACCAGTTGCTCTGAGATGATGTGGAAAGGTACATAGATGGTACAAAATTCTAGTGCAAGTTTACTGCTGCTGCTGCTAAGTCACTTCAGTCGTGTCCGACTCTGTGCGACCTCACGGACAGCAGCCCACCAGGCTCCTCTGTCCATGGGATTCTCTAGGCAAGAATATTGGAGTGGGTTGCCATTGCCTTCTCCAACAAGTTTACTCTGAATTAATAAAATAGGTCACCAAGCACTTTGAGAAAAAAATGTAAAAATAAAATGATCATAAATTACCCAAAGTGAAATAACTAGATTTCCGCCACCCACCCTCAATCTAGGAGGCAAAAGGTGTTTTCAACTGAAATTCTGATCAAGAGATCTTGAGCTAATAGTCATATATGTGTTTATAGTTGCATATTTGCATATAATGACTTAAAATGCTGCTTTAAATTGCCCTTCATTTAATTTTCACCATGAACATATATCAACCATGTTTTAGTATTTAACATTAAATTATTTAAAAGCAGTGTAAATGTAATAACCAGACTGTATGAAAAAGATCTACCAAATATGAATATTCAGGGAAGGAATACAGGTGGTGTTTCCTGAATGGCATTCTATGTTCACAAGAGAGAGTACAGTCAAAAGTTACCCTTTATACAATACTCATGACAGCACATGAAAAGGAAGATTGCTCATAAAATCTAGAATGACTCTATTGGTAAAAGCTGCTTAAATCATTTATAACATGAAGGTGTCTTGATAATGCAACAAAGACCAAAACAGTATAACACAGAACTTGACATTTTACAAATACCAGCGAATGCATAATACTTAGACATAAAATATAAATGATTTTAAGGGTGATGTTTCCTGTGCTGACGTTTAGATATTTGGGGAACAGCAGTGAGATCAATTTCTTCTAGAGAACAAACAAAAGACACCACCTAGGGAAGTCGGTAAAAACTAAATTTTTCTTATAGCTCACCTAAACACATCATTGGTCTCAGGGTCTGAATGATTCAAAGAGAATTTATTAGAACATGTATAATATGTATAATTTAAGTGAGACCTCTGGATTCTCTCTGGTCCAAGATGTCTAATTAAATGCTTCGGTGACTGCTGAGATGCACCTTCCAGGAGAGATTCTGTGTGAATCAGGAGCTGGGCGTTGTTGGTCTCCTACTTACTTATCTGTAGTGACAAGAAATTTACTACCATTTAAACTACTATTGAATAGCTAGAGTCTTCGTATTGAATCACATTTATCCTCTGCTGTTTGAACTTGCATAATAGAGTCTAGTGTGACTGGTGGGACTTTCCTGTTTTAAGAATTTGTGATATATGTTGCAAGGTAAGGAACATTAGATGTCTTTGTTCTTAGATTCTCATAATCAAATTATTCCAGGGGCAGATGGAATGTTCATATTATCTGGTTAAAATTATTAGACACATTTTAATTTAAAAAAGAAAAAATAATCACATCCTAATTCTCAAAGGCAAAACTCTAAAATACTCAGAACTGCCAGTACGGACCTGGTATAATTTTATTTTGTCTTTTAAAATAGAAGGGGTTTGTAATTTGGGCAGGGATGCTGAGAGTACCAAGAATAAAGAAATATAATAATCAAGAGAGTCATTCTAGAAAGAACACAGGTCGAGAGAGTGGCTGCAATGCAGCACACACAGGAAAGAATTATTCAGACAACTACAATATTGTAAAACGGAAAACAATCTGTGACTTCAAGGATCAACCGAACAAAGACTAATAAAGTAGTCAGCCATTCGTGAGAGAACTTGAATATTCAAAAGTATGCTGTCACACTCTCATAATGCCTAAAAGAATACTGTCTAATTCTTTCCTCCTTACTTTTTTCTAGCTTTCTTTTAGAGGTAACCTGCTCACAACCACAACCAGGTTCAATCTGCTTCCTAAATGGTTTGTAAAATGTTCTACAGCATTACACAAATCAAGAGTATGAAATATTAGATTTAAACTGCATTTGTTGAGCCAGACTTGAAAAATTCAGCAATGTGAGATGGGAGCTTTAAAGATCAGGAGCTTTAAGGAATTAGAGCTAGAAGGACATACCATTTCAAGGAGGAAGTGTACTTACATTTTACTGCAAGTGAAATGCCTGGCTTTAAATGGTAGCCTCTGAAACAAAGGAGAAAAAACTGTGTTAAAAAAATGCAGAGTGACCAGTTACAAGTGAAGAGGGCATTGAATTGCCTTCGAAGGTGCAGGCTTTGAATATGTTTTCTCATTTGAAAAAAATGAGAAGCTTAGAGATGAAACCATTTTTATTGGGAAACTCTTCTTGGAGGCCAGGGAGCTGCAGCCCACAAAGAAAGCACGCGAGTCAGTTGTGGTCCTCATTGCACACTCAGCTCCCTGTCTGAACGTCCTTTAATTTTGAGATTCCTTGCTGCTCACTTGTTTCCCAGGACTGATCCTGGTGAGAGGAGATATGGAGTCTGGTTGCATAGGTTGATGGCTCTATTCATTATCCTCTTGCTTCTGGTCCATACTCTCTGCGTACCCTGTTCTCTGACCCTTTGTTCCATTAACTGAAACTCCTCCTGAAAATTATGATTTTCTCAATTCATGCTTATTGGGATAAGTGGACAAGTTTTCTTTTCCAAGAGAACTTTTCCAAGTTTTCTGGGGGCAGGGGGAGGTTGAAAATCAATGCCAAGTTCCCCTTTATTCAAGATGGCAGTGGAAAGAGAGGGGCAATTAGACTGTGCCCACGCTTGGAGGGAGTCTGCCAGTTGTGCTGGCAATTTGTCCAAGGTGGCAGCCCACCAGACAATTCGCTTCCAAATCCATTTTGAAAAAAATCTATTGTGGTTATATCCAAAGGGGTATTATTCAGGGGAGTAGGTTTATTGAGAATGGCAGGTAAGTCCCCATGATTGATGTGAAGTATTTGGGTTGTGAGATTCAAATGATTCCAGTCATCTCCCAGCCTGAGCAGTCAAGTCACAATGTCCTCAGCCTTACAAGAAGATCCTGTCACTCATCACACCACCCACATGGATCTGGATGACTCAGATGAGTCACCTCAGTGAGCAATATTTTTCCAGCCTCTGCCATTTTTAGTAATAGCGTGACTTTGGCAAATTGATTCAATGCTTTGGGATGGAGAGAAATAAAAATAGTGGCTATTTCAAAGAACTGATGTAAGGGTTAAATAAGATAATGCATGTCACCTAGTAATATAAGCTGGCCCATACTGAAGAGAGTGCTAGCCAGTGTTGTTACTGTTATTGCTATTATTACTATCAGAAGGCCAACTTGGAAAACTAAATTAAGATAAGTTCATGGAATTGGAGCTAGGAAGGTAGCTACAGAGACCATTTTGCTTGGGTGGGAATGTCTCCACTCTTGGCAGTCAAAACTGTACCATTTCCCCAAACTTCTCTCCCAGATGGCCTCCCCTGAATCTTCATTTTTTCCAACTGCTGAGAATATTAATAATTTCAATTAGATCCAAATCCATATTGGAAAATTCTTAAGTATTTTAGTAAGCCACCTAATCCCTCATTTACAATCATAGAGATGATTGGGGTTGGGATTCCTAGATTGACAATGTACTAAATGATTGAATGACTGGGCCCAGAAAAAAAAAAAAAACAAGGATATTCTTCTTCCAGAACTTTTACATAAAGTAGGTGCACAATGCATTTTTATTGAGTTGAATTTTTTAGATGTACCCTATGGTGAGATTCAGGAAAATGTCACATGTATCACTGACTCGAAGGAATTAGGACCACTCCTCTGAGCCCTGTCCCCTACATACACTCCTCTCAACTCCCCTGCCACCCAGCTCTTGCCCCTCAAACAAAAAGTGCATCTGAGATTCCTCTGAAATTTTGAGCCCTTCAGTTCCTTTGAGGAAATTGTTGCTAGGAAACCAATTTAGAATGTTCTCACCTACTGAGAAAAGTTTTTACTATTGCCTCACATAATAACTTCTTCTTTAGCTTTGAAAGTATCAATAAAGAAAGCTGTCCCTCACTTCACCGATTCACTGGATAATAGCTCTTCATTTGGGCAACAATTTCACAGCAATATCATTGATTACTTTGAAAACTATTCAAAACCATCCTTGAGACTAACTTATGTAGCAACCTAATGCGGTGGGACCAATCGTTTTTCTTGGGGTACAAAATAAATAAAGTCATTAAGAACATTGTGGTGGTGAGGTTTTACAGACCATTAAAAACCATAAAAACTTGCCTTTGCTTTTCTAAGCTTCCTTCCACATTTGAAAAAGAAAACCCGAGTCCTTAAAGCAGAAAGAGAGCCCTTAACTTCAATAATTAGCTCATTTGCTAAATGTTCCTTCAGCGCCTGGTATGTGAAGGACTCTGTAGCAGGCACTAATCATACATTCCCTGCCCTCATGACAATGTGTGCTTGAAGAGAGAGCTAAACACTTGGGGAGATCAGGAGGTGATGCAGTGCAAAATTACAAGGTGCTCAGTGAGGCGGGAAGGTGGTCTTTGAAGATCCAATCTAGAAAGAGAAATCAGGGAATTCTAATTGGGAAAGCGTTAGGATAATAGCGGATGAAAAATCCATCTTAATAATAACTGCTAGCACTCTAGTGCTTTGTGCATTAGGAGCTGTCCTGGTACATGGATTCACTTCTGACCCAGCGTGCCTACAGAGGTGCTATTCTGGCCTCCGGGTAGGAGTTAAGAAAGCAAATGCAGAGAGTAAAGGACACCAGGGGAAGGGCCATCATCAAGGGCACAGGCCCTGGGCAGGGGAAACTGGCTCCTTTGAAAGTCAAGGGACCAGACCACCATTCGCCTTACCCTGTATACATCTCATCAGAGTCCGTCCTTCCACCCCTTGGGAATCTTCAAGGGGTCATGGATGGGCTCTTCTGATATCAATCCTGGATTAGTTTAGTCATGGAAGTTGAGCCTTTGCTCCCACCTTGGGGAGACACACACAGCTTGGCTCTGCCTGTACCCAGCAAGGTAGCCACGCTGATGAGATGTGCAAGGAAAGCAGTCTACCATCCTCAGCTCATGGTAGTGCTTGGGTGGGATTCAATCACCAGGTCCACAGGAATGGGCCTTGTCCAAAGCACTTGGACACCATCTCTGGTCTCCTTGTTAGAAATCCAGTCCCCTGTCCTCTGATGATTACTGAGGTCTGTCAACTGACAGTCCTGGAGCTGTAGGCCAAGGTGTCCACCCAAAGGATTCTCTGCATCACCCATCTCTCTCAACTTCTCACTCCGCTTCCTGTGGTCATGTATCTGGTTATGATCTGTAATCTATGATTGGCACTTTTTAAGAAAATGAATGCTTACGCTGATTGAGATATTTGACTTGAGTTGTCTGCTGTTTAAAATTTTATGACAGCAAAAAATTTCATCAGTGCCAAAGTAATTGTTTGACTAATATAACATGTGGAGTCAAATCAGTATACCTATTCCTCTCACTAATATACAATGTTACTTCCTGCTAGTCCAAGATTATAAATTTTGAGATGAAGTGGCCATCACTTTCTTGTTCTGAATATAGAATTAATTCTATTTTATGTTAATTTAAATTATTTGCTTATTGGCATGGTAGGAATAGGGTAGGGCCTTCCCACATGGCGCAGTGGCAAAGAATTCACCTGCCAATGCAGAAGATGAAAGAGACATGGGTTCAATCCCTGGGTTGTGAAGATCCCCTGGATAAAGAAATGGCAATCCACTCCAGTATTCTTGTCTGGAAAATTCCCCTGGACAGGAGAGCCTTGTGGGCTACAGTCAATGGAGTAGCAAAGATTCAGACATGACTGAGGGACAGAGCGTGCGTACACACACTCACATACACACACACACAGACACAGTAGAATACTTGTTCTTTATCCCACTTAATCCCAGGAATGCTGGGAACCAATAGTCTTTTAAGTTACCTGGGAAACTAAGAAAACGGATGCAAGTTTCGTCTAAGTAGAATATGCCAGTTACTGGGGAATAATTATCATTTGTGAACGGTGGATCCTCTTCACTTTGACCAAATGTGCTCCATGTGCTGGCTCCTTGAGAGTTTGAGGGTCTCTGCCCACAGCTCCCACACTGAAGGCAGAGACAACAATACGAGAGGCTAAGGCTCGGAGTTCAGTGTCAGATCCTCCACTGACCTCCTGTGTGACCTCTAACCAGTCATTCCACCTTATGCTTCTTGTTTGTGACATCACATGTGTATACATCAGTCTTTATGTAGCTCAGTGCCTTTTCTATACATCTCTCCTGAGATTTCTGTGCTTATCAGAGGAATCATGCATATAAAGCCTTTGGCAGAGACCTGACCCATTCTAAGCACTAAACATAGGGTGCTTATGACTGTCTTTACTGAGTATGAAGTGAAGAATCACCATACAAAGAGCTGTACTTTCTATATGAGTCAAAAATATTCCTTAACTGGTTATAAAGTATGCCATATTCAATCTCTTTAGTCTCTGAATTTGGGTCTTGATTTAACCCAAAGTGGGCTTGTCTTTAAAAAATCATAGTTGATTGGCTTTTCATGATAGTTAATAATTCTGTTAACAGTAGCTCATTTATTTATTTGCTATAGTGTTTTAAGAATTTTATAAATATTTCAAATAGCTTCTCTTATGGTATTGGGATTTCACTGTTGTTTTTTTCCTAGTCTTGACTCTGCCTTTGCTGAGATCTTAACAAACCCTTCCATTGCCTTGCCAAGTTTACTTATATGTGACTTCTTGTGTTTTGATTTCTTTCTAGCTTTAAACAGTAAAAGTTTAATTAAATAAGCTATTTTCATTACTGAAATTTTCGAAAATATAAAAGAGCACCAAAATTAAAAAGTGTTCAGAACCTCACAGATTTATTCTAAAGTATACAAAGAAGTGAATGTTCTTGTCCAACACTCCAGCCTCATATCCCAGAGGTAATGTTGTCAATAGTATGTGAAGGCATTATTCCAAATTGTTTTTTACGCTTATGAAAGCAAATATACATACATAAACCTTTAGACATATACACAAATATCATTAACATTCTTTCAACAAAACAAGGTCATACTATGTAATTTTGTAAAATACGCTTTTATTCTTTTAATAGTTTTTGTGGACATATATTCCAAGTCAGAATATATACATCTCCTCATTTTTTTTTTAGTGACTAAATAGAGACTTATTTATGTAATGCTCTAATTTATTTAACCAGTCCCATATTGATGAACATTTAGCTTGCATGTGCTTTTTAGCTATTACAATAAACTTGCAATGAGAAAGCATTTTGAACTTCTTTTTTTAGACTCACATGCCTATACTGTAGGATAGTTCTTAGAATTGTGAGCACTTTATTGACAGGATGTATGCAGCTTAATATTAAATGGAAGTCTTCAAGAAGATTGAATCTATTCATCTTTTACCAATAATAGGATGCATCCTCCATGTGTAACTTTCATTTTCCACTCATAATTTCCATTTCTTTGAGATTTTTTTTTTCTGTATGTGATTTCTTCTCTCTGAGCTTCAAGGTACTTAATTCCTTTTTCAGCAATGTTTTTCAGTTTCAAGAGCTCTTTCTTTTCCTTAGATTGCTCCTTTGTAATAACTTCTGTAGTCTCCTTAGAAATTTATATTATTTTCTTTTAGAGTTCTTCTGGTTTCTTTTTGTAAAAGGTTCCTCACAGAGAGCTACAATTTCTGATTATGTTGTTTTCACCCCATTCAAGCTGCTAAGTTACCATTAATGCTTTGAACATTTTCTCTTCCCACTGTTACTCGTCTGGACATCCAGATCTCCTGACTCATAAGGGAGGAGGGGTCCTCAGCTCATATGCAGGGAGGCTCTTGGGGTCTCCTAAACAGTAGGGGGATCTGCCAGTGGTGAGAGGTGAAGGTAGAATCTTTTCCTGGGGGATGAGCTGGTAGGCTAGGACCCCACAGCTGAGTGGTATGGCGGCAGTCTCCATGTTCTCAGGACCCTCAAGGCAAATGTGGAGTATAAGTGTTCTCTTCAAGTTCAATACACTTGATGTGTTCTTTAGTGATGGTCTTCTCAAAAATAAAACACAAAGCAACAGCAAAAAATCTAAATATGGGTCCCAAAACAATTAAAAAACGTCTTTGAAGCCAAGCTGACATGACAGACCAAGGGAAGATAGACTTATCTTACAGATAAGGGTATTAAGAAATTTTTATAAGCATGGCAGTCTCAGAAAACATGTCAATAATATTATGAATTATATTCTATGCTGGATATGGGGATATTGTGGCCAAACAATTTCATTGCACACTGTATTCAAATAGTATACATTAATTGTCAATAGCAATAAAGTAGATGGTCCTTTTGGTCAATAATGTATTTATCAACATATACCAGATACTTAAAATGTGTCCCAGGTGTTGAACATCTAACATTGGCAAAAGTGTGGTGATTAAATAATCGCCAAGGTATTTACATGAAAGACATTCTAGAAAAATTATAGTGACACAAATGGGAAGTACTATGATACTGCTACATGTGGGGTATTACTAGAGAAGGAGGTTCTTCCTAAACCAGATTAAGCCAGATTTTTTCCAAAGAATGGTGATGATGGATTTGTGGAAAGAAATGAAATGTTCAAGTAAGTTTGGGAAATGCTGGATTAAAGATAGTGAAATAGGTTTTTCTACAGCAATCTCAGACTTCTTAATACTTTATTACAAATTTCAAAGAGAAGTAATGTCCCAAATTTACATGTCCAAAGAACAAGCATTGGACTTCTTGCCAAGCATTTTGAAGGATATGTTGGGGGAACAGTGGCTAAAGTGATGCAGGAGAGCTCCCCAGAGCAGGCATGAGCAAAACAGGGTTAGGGAAGTCTCAGCAAGACAGATGTGCACAGACCCAGACACAGGACAGGAGCTGGGGGCACCCTGAGTAGCTCAAAACTGTTATGCCAAAAAACTCCACAGGAAAAAGTGGCCAGAGGCAGGGACAGAGATAAGCAAGAGTTACTGAGAGCATTCCTTCCTGGTAGAGGACTGAAAGCCTTCTTGAACGGAAAGCCAAGAAGCTTATTTGAAGGTTTCTAAAATAGGTGAGAAATATGAATGGATTTCTTGGGCTCAAAAATCACTGCTGATATTGACTGCAGCCACACAATTAAAGACACTTGCTGTTCTGGAGAAAAGCTATGACAAACCTAGACAGCGTATTAAAAAACAGAGACATCACTTTGCCAACAAAGGTCAATACAGTCAAGGCTGTGGTTTTACCAGTAGTCATGCACAGATGTGAGAGTTGGATTATAAAGAAGGCCCAGTGCCGAAGAATTGATGCTTTTGAATTGTGGTGCTGGATAAGACTCTTGAGAGTCCCTTGGCCAGCAAGGAGATCAAACCAGTCAATCCTAAAGGAAATCAACCCTGAATATTCATTGGAAGGACTGATACTGAAGTTCTAATACTTTGACTACCTGATAAGACCTGACTCATTGGAAAAAGCCCTGATTCTGGAAAAGATTGAGAGCAGAAGGAGAAGGTGGTGACAGAGGATGAGCTGGTTGGATGGCATCACTGATTCATTGGACATAAGTCTGAGTAAGCTCTGGGAGACAGTGAGGAATAGGGAAGCTTGGTGTGCGTAGTCCATGGGGTTGCAAAGAGTTTGACACAACTTGGCCACTGAACAACAGCAACAACAATAAATGTATCTGTTTTGTCAAAAATATCTTGGTCACAACATAGCTGTGGATTGCAGCTAGGTCAGCCTGGAGAAAGGAAGAGCAGTTAGAAGAAGTTATTAAACTAGCCCAGATGACAGTGCTGAGGAACTGATGTAGAGAAAGATTAGTGGATAGTTAGAAAGGTTAGAGAGATCAAAGAGATTAATTAGATACATCGACAATAGGTAGGTAAGTAGGTAAGAGGCTGAAGAGAGAGGGCAGAACCAGGCAGCAGATTGGATGTGGGGTGAGTTGACATTAGATGATTTCTGGGGGACTGGGTGGGAAACAACATCACTTAGAAGAGGAATAGGGCATGAAACAGGAGGGAAGGCATAATCTTTGAAAGAATGACATAAAAAAATAATTAAAAAAAAAAAAAGAATGACATAGCCCAAGGATATGGCATGAACTGATTAGAACCAAATAGGTCCAAGATGGCAGATGATTCAACTTCCATTAGACCTTGAGCCTCAGAATATATGCTTGTTGTAACATATCAGCAAGCTAAATTACACACACAGGTGCCATGACAGTTCCAAGACTGACCATGAAGGTCAAAAAGTGAGCAGTGGCCCAGTTCCTGGAAATCCCCATCCCTTTCCCAAAATAACTGGAATACTCTCTCATTCACTGTTGCTCAGTCACTCAGTCTTGTCTAACTCTTTCTGACCCCATGGACTGTAGCACGCCAGGCTTCTCTGTCCTTCACCATCTCCTGGAGCTTGCTCAAACTCATGTCCATTGAGTTAGTGATGCCATCCAACTATCTCATTTTCTGTCGCCCCCTTCTCCTCCTGCCTTCAATCTTGCCCAGCATCAGGCTCTTTTCTAATGAGTCAGCTCTTTGAATCAGGTGACCAAAGTATTGGAGCTTCAGCTTTAATATCAGTCCTTCCAATGAATATTCAGGATTGGTTTCCTTTAGGATTGGAAGGTTTGATCTCCTTGCAGTCCAAGGGACTCTCAAGAGTCTTATCCAACACCACGGTTCAAAAGCATCAATTTTTTGGCACTCAGCCTGCTTATATCCATACATGACTGCTGGAAAAACCAAAGCTTTGACTATACAGTAATTTCATAGACTCTCACCCATTAGCCTATGAAATTACCCAGCTGTGGAATGTATTTTTCTCTAAATAAATCCTCTTCTTACCTATCACTTTGTCTTTCACTGAATTCTTTCTATGATGAGACATCAAGAGCCCAAGTTTCTTTCATTAAGTCCTGAGACCAGGGATGATCTCAGTTAAAAGGCCATGGTTTCATGTCTCAAACTTAGTTATATAGTTTCAGGGGGAAAAACAGATTTGCATTGAACCTAATATGTTCAATAGTATAGAGGTAGAATTCAGGTGAGAAGGGAGGGAGGCCCAATCCATTGCTATAGCCATACTCTTTGACATGTTGAGTCTGAAGAGCTGTTGAATGTGTAACTTT